AAAGATCACGTAAAGTATAGCGGTATATTTCTATCCCCTATCGAGCTTTACGACAATTAACATAATGTCTAACTTATTTTCCAATCTATCAAGGGTAAAACAAGCCACAAATCTCATACAACTATTGCGCACATAATTGTAGAGAAAATAAAATTCATGCCAATCATTCAATAATTAAAAAAACATGTTTTAACGTCAAATAAATAAAATTCAAGATTAAGGATACATAATATAAGGTTTATCGCAAATTCTAGCACATGAAAATCTAGCCTAACATGGTTAAAATAATAGAATACATCAGATTTTGGATAAAAGACATCACCGGGTTATCAAATCTTGAGAAATCTTGAAGCTCTTCGTGTAAATCTTCGTTCTTGCGCTCAAGATCCTCTCCAAGAAGTGTTCTTCTACCTCCAGTACGTTCAGCCCCTTTCTGGATGTCTTTTGGTGTTTATATCGTGTGAAAATTAGGTTACCAAAAGAGTTTCGATCGTATAAGGAAATTGCAGAATCGGCCCCCAGAATATACCTATGCGATCGCATAGTACATTTCTATGCTGTCACATAGAGTAAAAAATTTTGAGAAAAAATTCTATGGAGGCTTCTATGCAACCGCATAGAGTTTATACTATGCGACCGCATAGTTATGCGATTCTTTCCGCCGGAAAAGCTTTTAGTATTTTGATCTTAACTTTTTCTCCTGATCTCCGATTGAAGTGATTCAAAGTTCATTGGACAAAAAACTCAAAGATATACACTTTTGATAGAAATAGGCTTTCTCAAATTCTGATATTTACAATGCCAAAAATGGATTTCAAGTAGAGGCTAAAAACCACGAGCATAGCTTTTTCGCCTGAAAGTTGATACTTGTTAATATTTCGATCATATTTCACCTCTTTGATTCCTTTCCTCATCCGATTGACCTTTAACACTCTTGAATCTTTATTCTATTTCCCGTCTCATCTATGGATTATTTGCAACTTGATCCCCGAACTTTCAGTTTGATTCATTTTGATCCTTTTTGCTTGTTTCTTTTATTTCCATTATCTCATAATATCACCAAATTGGTACTTAGCTCATTCATTTCCTTGATTTGTCCTTCGGACCATCTTTTGGATAATTGCACTTTGGTCCCTGGGCTATAACTTTGCTCCATTTTAGTCATTTTTCGGCTCTTTTCTCCTAAATTCCACAATTTCCATAGAAACACCTACATTGCATGAATTCAACGAGATTAAGTCACAATTTAAACATTTTGCTTGTAATTAAGTTATGTTTGTAATCAAAATTAGTGTGCAAAAAAATACTTATCACCCATTATCATCCCTGCTTTTGCAACTCTCGTGTCCAAACATCCCTCACAATCATAAGTGTTTTCTTTGAGTGCTAACTTTGGCATTTACAGATCCTCGACTATTTCACTTTTAGAATGTAACATACTACCACCATGCTTAAAGTGTAAATAATTTTAAACAATGTAAATCTGACATACATTTTCACAATAAAATATCTTGCACGTAATTTTAAAAATTTTCCTTTTTTTAGCTATATATTCTCCAAAAACAATCACTATTTCTAAACTCATTTTCCAAAAAATAAAATAAAAATAAAAATAATAAATAAATAAATAATTCTTTTTAATGGTTATAAAACAAGTACTTAATTAGTTTCACAATCATGATTTAACCTTACTAATGTTTTATTTGGACCACGATTCAATTTAACACCCATTTTTTAATTGAAAAGCTTACATGTTATGTAGCAGTCATTAAATCGTTAGGATTTTTAATTAAATCTTACAAGTTGGGACAGACATGTTGAATATTTAGTTAAAAATTGGACTTCAAACTTAGTCAATGGTTTGAAGGAAATATTTTGTAAAGTTTAGTGATTCGTCTAAAATAAATCAAAGTTCAGTTGTCCAAGGCGATACAACGAAAGTTCAGTGACCATTTGTGAAATTAATCCATTTTTTCCTGTAAAATAAAGGGTTAATTATATGAATGGTCACTGAGCTTTACCTTATGTTACTACTTAGTCACTGAACTTAAAAATATAACTCAATGGTCACTGAACTTCATTAAGTGTTACTACTTCATGACCGAACTTTAAAATGTATCTCAATGGTCACCGAACTTTATACAGTGTTACCCATCCATCACTCAAATGGAAAAATCCGTTAAGTCCAACAAACGACGTCAATTCGAATGACGGATGGTTAACACGGCGTGAAGTTCGGTGACCATTGAGATACATTTTAAAGTTCGATAATGAAATAGTAACACTTATCGAAGTTGAGTGACCATTGAGTTACATTTTTAAGTTCAGTGACTAAGTAGTAACATAGTTGAAAAATCAAATCGACCTTAGTTACATTGGCACTATTCGAACATTTTTGTTCTTTTATTTAATTTTTCTGTCAATTTCTTTTAGTGTTATAACTATTTCTTTTTCAATCTATTTATACGGAGTTTGAGATACGGTGAACTGATATAAGATGATCTAAAAATCAAACATACTTTTTCACCATAATGGATGAATATTAGCAACAATTCTATTTTTATTTAATTTATAAGTCTCTAATTTTCTGTTTCCTCTTTTTTCCCTTCATTTTCTTTCATTTTTTCTTTCATAGAGGTCGATTTGAGAAGTTTAGCCCTTGTTTGATCCTCATTTTAAGGGATAAAATGAATTTTTGAATCGTATATTAATGAAAAATGTGTTGTTAAAAAATAAGGAAAAATTTTGAATTTGCGTGTAATATTATTTTATTGAAAAATGTGTGGTTGAATGATGTCAAATCATTGTTTAAAATTTTTTTTATATTTATTTGTTTTTGGAAAGATTGAGACTCAAACAAGGGCTTAATAATTCAATTTAAAAATATATTTTAACGGTTACTGAACTTTGCCCTATGTTACTACTTAGTTATTGAACTTAAAAATGTAACTCAATGATCACTGAATTTCACCAAATGTTACTACTTCATAATTGAATTTTAAAATGTATCTCAATGGTCACCGAATTTTGCACCGTGTTACCCATCCGTCAATCAAGTTGACGCCGTTTGTTGGACTTAACGGATTTTTTCATTTGAGTGATGGATGGGTAACACGTTGCAAAGTTCGACGATTATTGAGATACATTTTAAAGTTTGGTTATAAATTAGTAACATTTGGAAAAGTTCAGTGACCATAGAGTTACATTTTTAAGTTTAGTGACTAAGTAGTAACATAGGGCAAAGTTCAGTGCCATTCATATAATTAACCCGCAAAATAAATTAATAAATAAATAATGATAAAAGGGAAAAAAGGAAAAGTACCAACAGCTACAGGAGCGTTCGAAACGGCGTGACACGACGGCGAGTACAGACAAAACGCCGCCACAATCTGCAGCTTAAGGTGGCTCATTCGCTTCCCACTTACTGAGGAAAGGGGTCACCCCGGTAATTTAAAGGGTAATTTTCTATATATACACATACATAAATAAATACGTTTAAGTGTAATAAACACAGATGAAAGAACACGAGAACCCTGTTGAAAATTGAAGCTTTAATGTTCTTATAACCCTTCTACAAGACAGAATTAGGGCTTTGATAATCACCCTAGGTAATTCTTGATCTTTTTGTTCCTTTGTCTATTTGCTTTTAATTTGTTATTTTATTACTTCGGCTACAAATTATAGATCCACGTAATTATGCATTTCAAAATCAATATGATTCAATCCAGTACCCACCCTTAGAACTGGATTACAAGGGGAAGGTAGGTGGTCATGTGGTTTAAGCTTTAATTTAGTGATTTAGTAATGTCGGACGCAATTAAGCTACTACATCTGCCCCTTCCATCAGAAACTTTTTCCACGACCCTCATAATCTTAGTTGATTTCACAGAATCAGTTTTGTAATAGAAATCGTTGAAGAATTGTTTGCAATGAGGATTGTCCTTAGAAGGGCTTATGCCCTAACGCCAATTGTTGCAACTGTGTTAGGATGCCTAAGTGATACACACGCACCCATACATATTTCCATGCGATTATGTGTGTAAATGCCGTACAACATATGCTATGTTATTTCTTTTGTTTTCATTTTAATTGCTGAGAAAATTTTGAAAGAAATTAAAGAAGTATGTCTCAGTATCCAAATGTGAAGGTTTATGTGGGCAGATCTTATCTTACTAATATGTATCAAAGCAATTAACTGCTTACTTAGTAATTTTAATTATAATTTTTTTACTTTTTACTGGGTCATTCCATAAATTTTATGTATGTACAGGAAAATGATAACATTGAAATGGTATGTTTAATTGTTGCCCATGGAGATCTGCCTTTAAATTACTTTTGCTTATGAATTGTCTACACACTATTCTTTCTCAACATATAAAACAGGAAATTACTTGCATTTTATCTTCTCATCTATAGCTAGGGTTTTAACTGGCGGCGCATGTTTCAGAATTAAAGAGGCTGATGGAACTATGAACACCATATAAAGAGAATGCCAGGGGTACCTCTTGTCCGTGAAACTACGTAAGTTTTCTTCCAAATGAGGTACTTTTACTTTGTAACATCTGCCAAGAAATTACACGCACAGGCTCACGGATACGCACATGATGGAACCACAAACACTTGAAGTGACTACTGCATTTTCTTGATTTGTGTAGATGTTATTTTCCTTTCTTTCATTTCATCTGATTATATTTGCCGTCCCAGTTATAAACCTATATACTTCACATGGAGTGCATCAAGAAATTGGCATGTATTAACACGTTCTTTAGAATGTCCATAGTTCAGATGTTATGTCAAACCTAGGATGCAAAATGAAAAAAATAAGTATTTGCAAATTTACACGAGAGATGTCATCTTAAACTTAAAGTGCCTTAGTTCAGATTTCGTGGCTGCCTAGATCCTAAAATTAATGTGTGTTTATGTATGTTTGTGTGTATATACACATGAAGAGAAAGAGAGAGACCAATGGAAGTTAAAAATATTTATATATTATTATGTAAAAATCGAATGTCAATTTTTCATGAAAAACATCTATATTGAAAGGCTTGTAGATGTTTAAACTTCACACCATGCCTAAGTAACGATGCTGCTAATAACAAATCAAAGGCTTGTCGTAAAATAAAGAATTATATGTGCTTTACTGAAGAAAATGAGTTTGCAGCCTCCTAAATGTAATTTAAATTCCCCAAATATTAAATGAGTTCATTATGATTTTTCTCAGTAATTTGCCAAATTCAAGATATATTCATTGGTTTATACTCATGAATTAGCTATCCTCAATCTCGACTGAAGTAGGATAATTTATTGTACTTGATATATGATTGAGATGAAGAGATCATCAATGTAATCTATTCTTGGAACAGGAATAGTGTTTGCAATTGCAGTTACTCTAGAACTGCAGATCACATGTGCCGTGAGGACACCTGTGCGCATTTGTCCCTGGAAGAGCAAATTGCAGCTGAGGAGAGCCTGTCGATCTATTGCAAACCGGTTGAGCTATACAATATTCTTCAGCGCCGTGCAGTTAGAAATGTAATGTTCTTCACTGTTTACTTCTGTTCTTCCTCTTTTCTTATTCACATTTGTTGTGGGGTAAATCATTTTTCTGCTTCTAAACCATTATCAGAACCTGCCTATTGTCCATATAGGTGCCTCAGGAGTGCAGGTTATGAGCATCTATTTTGAATGTTATTATTGTTAATCATGCCGATATAATACAGAGTGTTCGCTTTTTATTGCTCTATTATATGTGATCTTCATGTTCTAAATATCAATGATAACAGATACATAATAATGTAAGTTTGTTGTCGTTGTAAGTATACCTTTATAAGTTTGTCACCATCGCTCCTGTTATGGTCAATTTGTTCCATTTTTTTTTAAATGTAGCATGTCTAACTGAAGGAAGGTTTTTCTGTAGCCATCCTTTCTACAAAGATCTTTGCGGTACAAAATCCAAGCAAAGCACAAGAAGAGGTAAACATCAGTAGTTACTGTGTTACAATTTTATTTATTTATTTATTAATTATTATTATTATTATTATTACTTTTATTTATATTTTTTGGTGGGGGAGGGGGGGTGCAAATGTTAGATTGTCAAGATTTTCTGGATATATGATGTATTGAATTCTAAAATATCTTATGCAGCAGTACACCATGTAATGTAACTTTCAATCTCATAAGAAAGGTGGTGAACCTTTTTTTATTCTTTCAAAAAAAAATTTAGTATTGGTGACTGTGTTGTGAAATGAGTGGCACATTGTTTTCAGGAAGGGACGAAAAAATCATATGGTTTTCCTCAACTCGTCCTTTTTTATGCCACAGCATCCTTTTATGTGTATGTCCATCATGTTTGAAACCTTGAGGATGTTTACTCATCCTTTATTTTCTATTTATGCAAAAGCACATAGAGAAGTTCTCAGGTCAAAGGCTTGAGAACTCTGTTAAAAAAATCAAGTAGAGATGTTTGTTTGTGACTACTTGGTCTACAATATCACAGAGTTTGTAATATTCATGAGTATTTTATATTATTAGATGTCATAATGTGGCAAACTTTCTATAGGTGGTAATATTTAGTGTGAAAGTAGTACAAAAACATAAAAATGCACAGATGCTTGAAAACATCTGGAGACTAAAAATAAAATTCATGTACACCATTGGCTACACTGGATACTAGTGGTCTTTGTCCAATAGCTGCCTCTCTCTAACCCACTCTTTCTCATTTATTTCCTTCAGCAATTAATTTCTATTTATATTCAACTTTTCCATGTAACTCTGCCTTGCGGTGTTTTCATGTTTATTCAAACTTAGAAATACATATTTTGCCTGGGGATATGTATGTACTATCATGTAACACAACTGAGTTAATCTTCCTTTTCTTCTCTATTTGTAGGATAAAAGTTACAATATCTCTACCCACAACTGTAAATGATGGATTTCAAATTCAAAGTCTTATGTACACCATTGGCTACACTGGATACTAGTGGTCTTTGTCCAATAGCTGCCTCTCTCTAACCCACTCTTTCTCATTTATTTCCCTCAGCAATTAATTTCTATTTATATTCAACTTTTCCATGTAACTCTGCCTTGCGGTGTTTTCATGTTTATTCAAACTTAGAAATACATATTTTGCCTGGGGATATGTATGTACTATCATGGAACACAACTGAGTTAATCTTCCTTTTCTTCTCTATTTGTAGGATAAAAGTTACAATATCTCTACCCACAACTGTAAATGATGGATTTCAAATTCAAAGTCTCTTTCCCCTGTGTATAGTGTTAGCAAGGCCTGTTTATTGCCCAGCAGTTGCTGAGGTTGTATGCCACCTCACTTTATTTTAATGCAAGCTTCCTTTTTTCCCTTTCAATTGGCTTTCATGTTTGGGCCTCTGACTGTGTTTTGATGCAGCACTCTGAAGTTTATCGTTTTAATCGAGCATGTATTTTAACAACCTCCACTGGAGCTCAAGGGGCAAATCAAGATCATGGAACATTTGTTCTCCCTGAGATTAATAAGCTATCAGCAGAAGTCAAGCCTGGCTCTCTTTCCATCTTGTTTGTCAGCTGCTGTATGCCCTTTGTATTTTCTTATAATTTGTACATGTTTCTGGCATACCAACATCATAATTTTTCATGCTTCCTGTCTTCTTTGCAGCCGAATTTTTCAAAGACCAGATGGACATGTCATCATTGCCTGGTAAGTTATGCATCAATTGGTAAAAGTTTTTTCTCTTGTGAATTTTCTTTACATATTGTGCACTTCAGCTAATTTGCAAGAGGAGCTGGTGTTCACGTACACCTTTTCTGCTTAGAAATTGGCCTTCCCAGTTACCTGCTTTATGAAATGCTGAGGTAGGATTCCCTGTGTGTGTTTGTTTTCAGTTGGGTGAGGGCTATGTTTTCTTTAAACAAACATTTAGAGAGCCTTATTTTGTAGTTTAACTGGGAATAACTGGGATAAAATCACGGCTTACCAATCCTTCAAAGTTTTTATTAAGTTTCTCGTGATGTGATGGGTGGCATACTCAAATCTTGATGTGAATAGTTGGTCATACTTATTCTGTCTAGCTGGAGATTACTGTTGATAGAGTAGAGTGAAAGAATCGGATCCTTGATCTCAAATAAGTACTGGATCAGGTGGTGTTTGGTTGCTTTGAGTTATGGCAGCGTTTAAAAAGGCTTAATTGGGTACTAAGTCAATCTGTCTCCTTGAGGTGAGTTCTAAGCCTTGAGGCGCTTTAAGGTGTAAGCCTCAAGATAGAACTAATTAGCAAGTTAAAGCTCTAACTTGCAAACAAACATAAAATACATTGAGAAAATAGTAAATAATAAGTTCTCAAATTAATAATCTATTACTGAAATTGGAGACAACTAAAAGTTTCTTATATCATTGCTACTATTATGATCTGTAAGGGAATTATTAGAATCTGGTCTCATTTTAAGTTTCTTTTGATTCTTTGTCACCATCCTCCAATTTCAATGGTTTATTATCCTTCCCATTTTCCCTCGATGCAAATGAGCGAACACCTTAGTTGGATTGGGGCCTCACAAATGGTATTAAGATGTGGGTTTCGAGGCATTTTATGATAGCCTCACATGAGGCGGGATTTGAGGTGTAACCCCTTTATAGTTTTTTTAAAAACCATTTGTACGTATATACACAAGGAAAATGCTTCACCTCTCCACATCTGTATTTAAAGTATGTCGGCATTTGAAAGTGTCTCCCTATTTTTCTTCTACTACTAGGTATCTGTCCAGTTTATATTTATACTTTAGTTCACTATTGTGTTTGCGATTATTTTGACCTAGAGGTTGGAGTATTGATTCCATCCCAACTTGCATATATAACTTGGAAGCTTCTTTTGGTAGAAAATCGAAATACAAAGTAGGTGTCTCTCCAGTACTGTTGTTTTTCATTGCATACAAGCTTTTCTCCTACTTAAATGAAATACGGTTCTATTAGAAGAGTTTGTGGGTTTACATTGTCATAAGCTGTGGAATATGTATGAGCTTATTCTTCTGCATCTGTTCTGTGTTTCCTCTCAAGGTTTACGAGTGAACTATGGCTCCGTCTTGATGCATCTTTCCTTCCCTAAATCCCACTTTTGCTGGAATTTTTGGACTTCTTGTCATTCTTTGTGTGGAAACATGTATACTTCTCTAATTTGAGCCCTTCATGGTAATAGACAATGTCGGAGGACACTGCTTCCTGGGCAAGATACCAATGGAGCTACTTCACTTATCATGGGAGAAGTCTCCTGACTTGAGTGCGGGGGAGAAAGCTGAGATGCTGTCAACAGTTGACCTGCACTCCTACTTCATGAAGGTACGCCAAAACTTCTCTTAAGTGCGTGCCACTGTGTCCATACTCTGGTCTTCAGTTTTGGTGGCTGAGTACACGTGGAAGGTGGTTGAACACTTGAACTAATAAACTCTTTCTATTTGTTTATAAGCCCTACCGTTTTTGCTAGTTCTTATTGGAGCATTTCCATTTTCTATTGCTTTCTTCATGTTGTTCATATTAGGGGGACTCTTGCATAATACTCATTTACAATTAAAAAACTGTAATTACAGGTGGATTATTTTCTGTCATGCATAGAGAAGATACCAATGCATGATGGATATACCACATAAGCCTTATTTTACTTCCTCCCTGACGCCCCGTGCCCCCCACCCCACTGCTAAAAATTTATAATATTATGCACTTGTGCAATGTGTAGAGCATGTTAATACACAGTGAATTTACATGTAGAAGCCATTGTAATTAAAAATCAGTTTTTGGCTTCTGCACACTCAGGTTTCAATATTATTAATTGCCTTTTTTTTTAAAGTATAGTTCTAAGTAATTTTGTAATGGATGGTGAAGTCATCTGCAATGTTGACTGTATGATGAACAGAAGTTTTAGATTGTGACAAATTTATCCTGTTTTGTTTGATTTTCCAATTTTCTTATATTATTGGCTTCTATAGCAGACAAGCTATTTGGGAGAAGACAAATGCCTTTCATTTCAGACTCCTCATGTCGCGGAGGGCCCGGTAATTTTCCTCTTGTATTCTGCTTGCATTCCTCGGAATCCTTTTTTTTTTTTTTTTTTTTTAAATAATAATTTTGAAGGTTACTCTGGCATTAAATTTCATTTTTACTAATTGTTATTTTTTTTTCTCCATCTTATTTTACCAAGGGTAAGTTGCAGCGACTTCAAGTGAGCATTGCAGCAGAAGAAGTTGGAGCTAAAGAGAGATCTTCTTATGATTCATTCTCATACAGTGACATTTCTACCTCTTCATTGCCTCAGATCATTAGGTTAATTCTATAGCTTCTCCTTTTTATGCTTGCTTTTCTCTTTAATTGATTGTCTCCATTTCATGCGTAGAATAGTCACAACGACCATACTCTCTTCTTGTTGCGGAAAATTGTGCAGATGGAATTGTCCATCTCATGTTCCAAGTTATTTCATTATTAAGTTTGAAACTATCAGTTTTTTCTACAAAATGAAATCTGCCTCTTCTTACTTCTTGTACTGAGAATGAGTTTCTCCATTTTCACGGAATAATTAATTTTCAATCAATCCAATTACCTTTACCAAGTTTTACCAAGGACTGAATGCCTCGGTTATGTAATATCATCAGTACTATCTTTAGTGTTATAAAGCAAAAAATGTTACGCTTGTTTCAATGTGATTCCCCAATACGATTAACTGATTCCTGATCAAAAGGCCAACTTACAGCAAATCATTATTCAGCTCTTGTTCCTTTCTTTTTCTTTTTCCCTCTGATTACCTCTTTGATTGCACTGTAGTATCGTTCATTTAAATTGGGTATGTGACCTTCAAATTGGGGATATTTGGATCATGGGAGGGTTTAGTAAAGGGTTGGATGAGGAATGTGGGAACGAGTGATCTCCACACCACTCCATGGCTGATTTTGTGTGGTCATCAACTATATCTGGTTTTTGGTTTGCATTAGACAAACTTCAGTTAAGGCCCATAATCCTGAAAATGGTTTCAACTTATATTTGATTTGCAGATAGCATAACTGTGAAGTACGAAAATTGTCTGCATATAGGGATTTTAACCTCCATTCAATATATTTTTACAATTTGTGTGATCGAGAGATTACTGTGGTTGAATTCATTTCTGAAAGAAAACTCTTATTAACATATAACTAACATCACCATTCAGATGGGTTTACCTTATTACTAAATGTCGCCTAAGATTGTGGACTTTGCATGTTGTATTGGACTCTGAAATGGTGAAATTTTTTCCCAAACGTCAGATTAAGTTGATTGGATACAATTTTGTGGCTATGCTACCTAGAGCAGTGACATTGAACCAAAAGTGGCATTAATATTTGTTAGTCACATGCCATTTTTGTGATTGTGGATCACAAGTGTAGAAAGAAGAGAGAAGATTCTATGCACTTTCCTTCAGTATCTGTCTTCATCAATTAAAAAGGCATCTTATAGTGATTATTAAGAAATTTATGCAGTGAGCAATTGGATGTTCTAGTTTAGCTTGGCATGAAGTATATGGGAGAGTCTGTTTGTTTAGTACCTTAATGCATGCTATGTAGTTTATGTGGGTAGCCATTAACTAAGCAATATGTAGAAAATAACTCTAATGGGACTGTCTTTCCATTTGATGATCATGATGTTACTTTGCTAATAGTAATCTGGGAAATGAAAAACTGACAAAAGAAGTGGACATTCCAAAGGAAAAATGATTTGGATTTGGATATGCAGTAGCATTATTCTTATTTAATCCTATTCCTTCCTTTCTCATATTATTTGAGGAATCTTCTCTACGTATTCTCACCTCATTGCTGACGGTATTTGTACTGAAGTTTTTAAACTTTCTGCATTATTTTGAGGAATTCACTAATTGGTTGTACGTATAGGTTGAGGACAGGAAATGTTGTTTTCAACTACAGATACTATAACAATAAGTTGCAGAAGACTGAAGGTAACATGAACTCTGATTTTTATGATAAATGCATTGCTTCTTTTACTTTCAGCTAGAACAAAACTTCTTAACATTGGACTAAACTGTCACTGTTAACTAAGTCAACAGTTTATCTGATGATAAAGTATTTTAACGAATAATGGTCCATTGATTTTTTCTTCTTTTCCTTGCTAATCATCTGTCTCTTCAATCTTTTATTGTTGCTGCTGCCATGGTACTACACAACAATCATTTTTCCTTAGACGCACTAAATCTTGTATTATTCAATTGCAATGAATTCGATGGAGATCTTTGGCAAGACATGTTCTCCAGCTTAGGTGTTTAGTTCCCGAATGATGGGATCTTTTTCCCGTTCTTGGTCTAGTAGGTAGATCATGTAGAAGTCATTTTTGCATGGATGTTAAAATAGTGACATTAGATCAATAAACTTCTTACTTCACCAAATTGAGCAACATGTATGTCTCAAACACATAACTTATTGATGTAGTTGCCACACATACATTTGTATGTTAACTTGCCCGCTTCATGGGTGAAATAATATTCTGCTCTAGCTTTGTTCATTAACGATGAGGGTAGAGTTATATCCCGTAACATCTTTCCTGGCTCATAATTAAGAAAAAATAAAAGGTTCGTGCCACTGACTCTTTCTCAAATATGGGATTCTCTCTGCACCCACAATGAATCATGAGACCTTCCTACACTACTGTAATCATTACTGTCAACCACCCTACTATGAGAACTTGCCCAAATAATAATTAGGAATCACAAAGAGTTTTGGTAAGGGTGTGTTTATTGCAGTGGCAATGGTGTTTGGCCACTGTGTCCTTGTGGATAGGGGGAGGGGATGACGTATATGGAGGTGGATGTTACAATGTATGAATGCACAGATATACACTTTCTTTGTTGTTGAAATAAGGGGAATTTTATAGCTATAACCCCAATTACTAATTGTTGTATACTGCATGTTCAATTGATATGATACATATATATATAAATGTTCAGCTGAGGTTATATATTTGTATATGCACTTTTGTTGGTGTGTTTGTCAGTGCTTTTACTGCCCCTTGGTCAATGTTGAGGCAAAATGTTGAATCTCATTTTGTTGTCAATACCGCCGGATTAAATAAACACTGGAATTTTGCTGTTGGAAGAATAAACTGTTCTAGATCTTCCAAATTTATTAACTATCTGATCTTGAATTTCACTTTTAAAATCGTTTGAAGCAATTGCTTATCCTAATCTGAGACTACTAATGTGGCAAAAAAGATTTGGAAAATATATGGCCTCTTCACCTACATTGCATTTGTCCTCCAGTGGCTGCTGTTTTCTCTTTGGCTTTAAGTATTTACCATACGGCTAGGACCATATGACATTGTAGTTCTTTTGGGCCATTATATTCCTGTTTCGATGAAAACTTATTCAGGTCTTTATTATGTTGTAAATTGATAATTGGCATTATAACTCTTCAACTTCATCATTAGGGTGAACTAATAATCATATAATATTATTTCTCCCTTTTCTCCCTCTTTCCCTGTGTCCTTTTCAATGACATTCTATAAAGTACTTATTGTTTTGTGTCTCATAGGTTGTATATAGTCTTAGACTTTGTTTGAGGCCTATATTTGGTGAAAATGAGTTATGTGATAGTGATTTTTTTAAGAATGAAGTTTTGGATTTAGGTGCAAAATTATTTTATTGGAAGAATGTGTGATTGAAAATGAGTTTGAGGGAAAATGAATTTTTAGAAAATGGGGCTCAAACAGGGGCTTAATCTTCAGATATTGCTCTGAGTCTGCCTTTTTGGTAACATTGATACCTGGAACCCTGTTTCTTCCGATACTTTTTCTTCATAGTTGTGAATTTTGTGACCCTAGCCCGTGTTTCTTCCCATATGGATTGTAATAAACGCTTGATATATGCTTTTTACTTGCAGTGACAGAGGACTTTACATGTCCTTTTTGTTTGGTGAAATGTGTAAGCTTTAAGGTATGATGCAATTTTGATGTATTTAATTCTTTCTTTTGGTGTTAATCTGACAATGATCTTACTGTAATTTAACTTATTCAGGGTCTAAGATGTCATTTATCCTCCTCCCATGACCTCTTCAACTTTGAATTCTGGGTTAGTTACCTTCAGCAATTTTCACAAGATTTTATATTCTGTCATTTGATGGAAACCTTAACCCCATTCATTGTATAGGTAACTGAAGAATTTCAAGCTGTAAATGTTTCTGTGAGAACTGACATATGGAGACCTGAGGTCAGAACGGTTTTTTTCTTGAAAATTTTCTAGAGTGTGTGATTTGTTATACTCGTTAATGATCTGCTCGTTTAGGGAAGAAGTATGTAGAGATGTAGAAAACATACCAGCTAAACTACACTGGTAAAAATATCTGAAGCCTGAAAGTTCTTGGTTACACTTGGAATCTTGTTTGATTGATAGAACAAAAATATGTCGTACAATCAGCTGCCAAATTTTCCTGTGTGAGTTTTGGTTAACGTGGATACACCAATAGTTTGATTGACCTGTAAATGGTGGGTGCAAGTTATTTCACTGACCCATTTTACATGGTTACATTGATGACATTTAGAAACTGGAGCATTCTGATTGTTATGCAGTGGGACTTTGAAGATCCGGATCTAATGAATTTACATCAATGTTGTCAAATGGCATAACTTGAATGCACTTACATATGTAACTGAAATTCCTTTGCCACCAATATGATATGTGCAGATAGTTGCAGCTGGTGTTGACCCTCAGCAACAAATATTTTTCTTTTGGTATGACATAATTCTCTAGTTTAGTTTGAGAGTTATAGTATCTTTCCACTTTTCAGTGTCAAATGTAATGAAATGTTTTGGGTATGATACAGTTCTAAGCCACTACGACGTACTAAATTGAAGTGCCTAGTTCAAAGTTCAAAGCATGTGCATCCCTTAGTCTTAGATTCAGAGTTGCCAGGATCAATCAATCAGCTTCATGACAAAACTGATGGTATGATTCCTTTATAGACAATACTTATCCTTGGAATCTTTCTAATCTCCTTCCTATCCTTTCTCTCTTGATTTGTTAACCTCTTTTTATTTTTATTTTTTTGTCTTATTTTCCTTTCACACTAGTTATTTATCAATCATGATGTTCCTGTCACTGTACAGGACTTACTGTGGAGTTGAATTATGGATCCACTTTTGTGTTGATAGGCATGTTGAAGCTACTTATTTCATTTTCAGAAATGCCCTACTCTGTAAACAGAAAACTTCCTAATCCCAACTGATTTTCCATCTAGTTCAAATGCTATTTACAATATCATTTGGAAAATCCTTGGATACCAATACCAAAATTACAAGACATGAGAAAGTCATATTTTTATATTACTACTTTTATTGATGGAAATTATGTAGTGGTTACTCATTATTTTCTCTGCTGGGAAATAGATTCTTCCCGTTTATTCTAGTTTGAAAAATGAAGTCAAATTATTAGGCATGAGAAAATTCTTTCTTGCCTGCTGGTCTTGCCAAGAGTTGTCCAAGGACAATTAACCTAAGCATATAGGACATGTATTGTAGTTAAATTTATATTTTATGGGTAATGTACATCGTTTTGTAAATTGATATTACAGAGTGTGTGGAACATGATGCATTTGGTCTCAAAGTGTCAACTGTGAGAGCTCAGTCATATACAGACCCTGAAGGTCTCCAGTCATCATTACCCGGAAGCAACCTTACACCTCCTGCTATACTACAATTTGCAAAGACAAGGAAGTTATCAGCTGAACGCTCTGACCCCAGAAAGTAAGTTTGCTAGCTGACGTGTTAATTAAAATATTTACGTAAAACCCGTAACATTTTTCATAAAGCTTTTGGAGGAGCTTCTTTTTGCCTTAAAGCAAGTCTGACCTTCTAATTTCATGATTTTGTAAATCTAACCAACTAAATTTATATTCGAGGTAATCACGGTATGCAGATTTAAATTATAGTTTCGTTTGCTCAAGAAAAA